ACTACACATAAATGCACACTTGCATTCAAACTCCAGTACCACATACAAACACATTCACACAAACATACTCCATACAAACACATGCTTACATACTAACATGGCTCAGTGCTAAATACAACCCTGCAAGCATGGGGAATTGGTAGAGTCCCAGCTGTCAAAGCATTGTTGGAGTTGCACGACAGATGGGGTTCTACCTTTAGTCCAACCCTGCAATTGGGGGTCCCAATAAAATTCATTCTACTTTAGTACCGCCACTGCGTTGGGATGGATGCCGTGATTGCATACCAGGGAGTGAGGGGCGAGAGCGGCAGGGCCCAGGGGGCCCAAGCAAACACTTGCCCAGGGTCCATTCGTTATTAAAGACGGCCCTGACCATGGTGCTGAGCAAAGGCAGAAAGGAAGGCATGTGAACTGCAAAATTCTCCTTGCCATATGAAGTGAAGGAAAGCCCGATGGTTGCGGGTGAAAGGGATTGTGAGATATGCGTCCTTGAGATCGAATCTGTAGAACCAATCTCTCACTCAAAGTAGGTCCCTGAGAGGATGGATGCCCTCCATCTTCAAATGTTGATAATTGACATGTTAATTCAGATCTTTCAGATTGATAGTTGGGCGAAGATCTCCTGTCGTTTTGTGGACAAAGAAGATGTTGCTGAGGAAGGTATAAGGAAAAGGCAATCTTTCGATCGCCCCCTTTTTCCAAAAGTTTGTTCAACTCCGTTTGCAATGCTAAATCATCTGTTATGGACATCCATATTGGTGTATGTGGTGTAACCTGAAAGGGGAGGGAGAGAAAATCTATTTTGAAACCCTTGACTGTGTGTAGGATCCATTGATCCTGTGAAAGCAATTCCCACTGTTGGAAAAAATGGGTTAGTCGACCTGCTATAGGTACATTAAAAAAAAGGAAGATCTATTACCTGGACCAGTGCGTCCGCATAGGGAAGCAGATCCACGTCTACGGATGGATCCTCTTTTGGTAAACAAATGTCAGTGATAAGGTCTTGTGATTCCTGAATTCCCATAATATTCTGTGGGGCGAGGCCTGTAGCCTGTGAAGGCAAAGGCAGCTCTGCTGGTTGCTCGGCTTCTATAGCGACCAGCTCTACCAGAAAAACGCTGTGGTTGAGAACAAAAGACCCTGTGTAATGAGGATTGGGCTTTATTTAAAAGAATGAATACTGAGACATGTTTAGAGAGATCGCTCATGAAACTGTCTCCGAATAATAAGCCGTTGACTTCTGGTCCCAATTCTCTGGAACTCAGATCTGTTAATTTAGCGTCAATCTTGTACAGTGCGACTTTATGTCTCTCAGTAGAGATAACCACATTTGCATTTCCTAATAAACATATAGCTCTCTGAGCCCATTCTCACACTGTATGTGGATCAAATTCCCCACTAGTTATAGCTTCATCAGCTAAAATAAATATCTGGATAATTGGACAAGCAAGGAGTTTGTCTTGAGCTGCCTTGAGACCCTACTCAATACCTTTATGAAGGTTCTTGCCAGATTTTGTGAGGAACGTGACTTACATTGGATCAAACTCAGGCGTTAGTATAACTATTCCTTATTATTATTATTATTGCCATTTATATAGCGCCAACATATTCCATAGCGCTTTCAATATTATGAGAGGGGGGATTTAACTATAAATAGGACAATTACAAGAAAACTTACAGGAATGATAGGTTGAAGAGGACCCTGCTCAAATGAGCTTACAGTCTATAGGAGGTGGGGTATAAAACACATTAGGAGAGGAAATAATCAAATAAGGTGGGAGTGAAGCAGAGCTAGAGGAGAGTAAAGTGCTGCCCATTAGGAGAGAGCAAGAGACAGGTATGTGAGGTAGAGGTTACTCTGGGAGACCATAAGCTTTCCTAAAGATATGGGTTTTAAGGCACTTCTTAAATGATTGAGGACCAAGGGAGAGTCTGATGGCGGTAAGCAGGCTATTCCATAGGAAGGTAGCCGCGCGCGAGAAGTCCTGCAAGCATGAGTTGGCCGTACAGGTGCAAGCAGCGGACAGGAGAAGGTCACGGGCAGAGCGGAGAGACCAAAAAAGGGCATACCTTTGGATCTGTGAAGAGATATAAGATGGCTAGAATTGTTCAGTGCTTTCTAGGTATGGGTTAGCACTTTGAATTGTCTCCTATAGGATACAGGAAGCCAGTGTAAGGACTGACAGAGGGGTGAGGTGTGAGAGGACCGACTGGAGAGGAAAATCAGTCTGGCGGCAGCAATTATTACAGACTGTAGCAGGGGAATACAGCTTTTGGGAAAACCAATTAGGAAAGAGTTACAATAATCCATGCGGGAACTTACTAGAGCATGGACAAGGTCCTTGGTAGCATCTTGCGTAAGAAAGGGGCGGATGCTGGCTATGTTTTTAAGATGGAATTTATAGGATTTGGCAATATACTGGAAGTGAGGCTCAAAGGTGAGGCCAAAATCAAGTATAATGACAAGACAGCGCGGTTGCAAGGATGGACTTATGTGGATACCACTAACTTGAAGGGAGAGCAAAAGAGGAGGATCAGTATTAGGAGGAGGAAAGACAAGGAGCTCATTTTTAGAGAGATTGAGTTTCAGAAAGCTGGAGGACATCCAGTCAGAGATGGAAGAAAGGCAAGCAGTGACATGTTGCAAGACAGCAGGGGAGAGGTTCGAGGAGGTGAGATATATCTGGGTGTCAAAAGCATAAAGGTGGTAGTGGAATCTAAATGAGGTAATAAGTTTGCCAAGAGGCAGTATAAAGAGAAAATAGAAGGGGACCAAGGACAGCGCCTTGAGGAGACAAGACGAGGGTAGGAGGTATCATTAGAAAAGGAGACACAAAATGAGCGTTGGGAGCGATTAGAGGAAAACCATGAGAGGACAGAGTCACAGAGACCAAATGATTGAAGAGTTTGAAGAAGGAGAGATTGAACAGCTGTGTCAAAGGCAGCAGAGAGATCAAGAAGAATTAGCATGGATGATACCTCTGCTTAGGCTTTTCTGCAGTGCTTGGTTGCTTGTGAGTACTGGGTGTTGCTAAGCAATGCTGTTATTTGGGGCCCAGTCTGAAATATAAGGTCTGGGGTTAGAAAAAATAATTCCTTATGTGGAATAGTTGGCCGAGGGCTTTCGGCTCTAAGCTTAGCACTAATTCCTTTTATTAGAGGCTTGTGTAGCCACATCTTACAAAACTTAGCAATGTGGTCAGGCGGGGCCCATTCGGCTGAGCATTAGTGTCTAATAACCCTAGGATCAAAGAAAGGAACGCCAGCAGCATCCAGTAAGGTGTCTGAAGGGGGCTCCTTGGGCTTAGAATTACCAGAATCCAGGTCTGTAACAGGGTTTTAAGGCACTTCTTAAATGATTGAGGACCAAGGGAGAGTCTGATGGCGGTAAGCAGGCTATTCCATAGGAAGGTAGCCGCGCGCGAGAAGTCCTGCAAGCATGAGTTGGCCGTACAGGTGCAAGCAGCGGACAGGAGAAGGTCACGGGCAGAGCGGAGAGACCAAAAAAGGGCATACCTTTGGATCTGTGAAGAGATATAAGATGGCTAGAATTGTTCAGTGCTTTCTAGGTATGGGTTAGCACTTTGAATTGTCTCCTATAGGATACAGGAAGCCAGTGTAAGGACTGACAGAGGGGTGAGGTGTGAGAGGACCGACTGGAGAGGAAAATCAGTCTGGCGGCAGCAATTATTACAGACTGTAGCAGGGGAATACAGCTTTTGGGAAAACCAATTAGGAAAGAGTTACAATAATCCATGCGGGAACTTACTAGAGCATGGACAAGGTCCTTGGTAGCATCTTGCGTAAGAAAGGGGCGGATGCTGGCTATGTTTTTAAGATGGAATTTATAGGATTTGGCAATATACTGGAAGTGAGGCTCAAAGGTGAGGCCAAAATCAAGTATAATGACAAGACAGCGCGGTTGCAAGGATGGACTTATGTGGATACCACTAACTTGAAGGGAGAGCAAAAGAGGAGGATCAGTATTAGGAGGAGGAAAGACAAGGAGCTCATTTTTAGAGAGATTGAGTTTCAGAAAGCTGGAGGACATCCAGTCAGAGATGGAAGAAAGGCAAGCAGTGACATGTTGCAAGACAGCAGGGGAGAGGTTCGAGGAGGTGAGATATATCTGGGTGTCAAAAGCATAAAGGTGGTAGTGGAATCTAAATGAGGTAATAAGTTTGCCAAGAGGCAGTATAAAGAGAAAATAGAAGGGGACCAAGGACAGCGCCTTGAGGAGACAAGACGAGGGTAGGAGGTATCATTAGAAAAGGAGACACAAAATGAGCGTTGGGAGCGATTAGAGGAAAACCATGAGAGGACAGAGTCACAGAGACCAAATGATTGAAGAGTTTGAAGAAGGAGAAATTGAACAGCTGTGTCAAAGGCAGCAGAGAGATCAAGAAGAATTAGCATGGATGATACCTCTGCTTAGGCTTTTCTGCAGTGCTTGGTTGCTTGTGAGTAATGGGTGTTGCTAAGCAATGCTGTTATTTGGGGCCCAGTCTGAAATATAAGGTCTGGGGTTAGAAAAAATAATTCCTTATGTGGAATAGTTGGCCGAGGGCTTTCGGCTCTAAGCTTAGCACTAATTCCTTTTATTAGAGGCTTGTGTAGCCACATCTTACAAAACTTAGCAATGTGGTCAGGCGGGGCCCATTCGGCTGAGCATTAGTGTCTAATAACCCTAGGATCAAAGAAAGGAACGCCAGTAGCATCCAGTAAGGTGTCTGAAGGGGGCTCCTTGGGCTTAGAATTACCAGAATCCAGGTCTGTAACAGGTTTCTTGGTAATAAAGTTATCTTTCACAAATTCCGCCGAGGAATCTCATAGCGCATTCGCCGGGAGATCCTCGTCGGAGCAATTGCCTGTATTGGATGTAAGTTATCGTGAATAGGGCATGTTAATGACAATTTAAGGGACTTGGTGGGAGCCTTGCCCTTGCCAGCAGAGGCACTGTCTCCTTCTGAAGGGCGTTTGTGCGTGACTTCCTCCTGATCCGAAGGACCAGAGAGAAGGTGCATAGTGGGATTAGCTTCGGTAGAAGTCTGTTCATGAAAGGCTGCTAGCCCCTTGGGAATTGACTCAGCAATAGTGGAAATGAGCCATGCTCGTAATTATTGGGAGATGGCAGGCTCTGAATGATCAGACATATTAGTCTTACTGTGAGCCAATAGCAATAAATCAGAAAATACTACTAGTGATGTCCCGACCGGTTCGCCGAACGGTTCGCGAACGGTTCGCCACGGACTCATCATTGAGTAAACTTTGACCCTGTACCTCACAGTCAGCAGACACATTCCAGCCAATCAGCAGCAGACCCTCCCACCTACACCCTCCCACCTCCTGGACAGCATCCATTTTACATTCATTGTGAAGCTGCATTCTTAGTGAGCTGTCGAGGAGGTGGGAGGGTCTGAGAGGGAGGGTCTGCTGCTGATTGGCTGGAATGTGTCTGCTGACTGTGAGGTACAGAGTCAAAGTTTACTCAATGATGAGTCTGCCGTGAACCGTTCACGGTGAACCGTTCGGCGAACCGTTCGGGACATCACTAAATACTGCACAATGAATGGGGTTCACCCAAATATGATTGTTGGTAAATAGAAGTGCAGCAACACAAAATAGTCAGTGGGGTCAACCACTATAATCACAGTAAGTGGGGTAATCCCCTATAATATAAAGTAAGGAAGGATCACCCACACACAGTTAGTAAAACAAGGTGGATATGTCCACACAAATTCAACTAGGAAAACAGCGGTTACCACTTAATAAATCAATAGGTGGTGTTTACCTGTAGTTATGAAATAAATAATAATAATTATAATGTGGGTGTCACCCACTACAATATAGGTGGGATACGCCTTAACTGTAAGTAACAGTAAGTAACAAGGTGGGGGTCACCCACAATAAAGTTCAAAATAAGAACAAGAATGTAAGTGGCCCTCACCCACAAAAGCCCTCCTTTATTATAATATAAATTTGAAAGCAGGTCTTTGTTATTGGAGTATCTGTTGATAAAAACAAATAGGGATTATAAGTAAGTAGAGTAACATAACTCTAGCACAGCAAGCTGCGTTAAAATAAAAATAGAAATTGAGACTTGCCAAGCCGATGGACGAATATTACAGCTGCCCACAATTCTGACCATGGCGAAAACAGGTGGGAAACAAAGTATCGGAGAAGATGGCCACAGTCAGTTGAAAAGGTGGGGAGAAAAGCACGTCAGAAAAGATGCGAGTGGGCAGTAACGCGGGTAAGGGTGCGAAAGAGTTGGCCGTGGACTCTGGTAAATGGAGTCCATGGCCGTAGTAGAACCTGAGGGAACAAAGTGGGCCACGGTCTCTTGATGGGAAAAGAGTCCACGGCCGTAAATCTAAAAAGATTGCGGGAAAACCTTGCAAAGTGCCCCACAGGTCATTTATAAACGGCCCGATGGGTAGATGTAAAGAAATATGAGTGAAAACTATGGTATGAACCCTATTAAGGATTATGGTGTAAAACTGACACAAAGTCTAGCTGAAAATAGAATAGATGATGAATCTAATTGAATTACTAAAAATAAATATAAAATGGAGTTAGGTAAACTACTTTTATATATTGTAAAACGTATTTAATCTAAAGCAATATAATTGGAATAGACTCACCTGGGACTCACCTGGGAGGCAATCAGCAAAGGAAGAAGAGTTGGGAGGAGCTAGAGGACATTATATTAGTATATGACATTGTTGTACACTGTGATTGGTTGAATTTTTTACATCATTGTTAACTGTTTCTTTGCTGCTGGGAGGTTCAGTAAAGAAAGAGTAAGCAAATATGAAGCCTCCTGTCTTGCCATAAACTTTGGTGCCATGTGTGTATGTTAGTTATTAGCAGTAATCCCATCAATATTGTGCCAATATTCTTCAGTGCTGACAAAGTACCTTGGAGAACTGAATCTAAATTCAAAACACACTGACATACATGGTAAATAACTTTTAGGATCGCTCACAGTTGGCTGATGTCAAAGTAGGTATTACAAACACTCACTTTAAATAAGTCCGGCATTGGTGTGCTTTTTCGATCCTAGGCTCCTCCCACTTCCATTTTAGACGTCAGGACTGACGTCCCCTTCGTCTACCTCCCAATCTTCCACTTTCGCCATTATTGATGTCATGACGCAGCTTCCGTGTTCACGTCATGACGTTAGCATACCGGAAATGTCTTATTAATTTAAAGCTCGGATATGCCCAGAAGGAAGACATGGGTCTTGACTTGAATACTCTTGTGATATAATCCTCTGGGGCCATGTTGAAAAATACTTTTTTCATTTATTTTTGTGTTGTTTCTCTATAACAATAATTCAATCCAATTTGCTTTTGTGTGTACACATGGAAGTTTGCATAACAACCAGCTAATCACGTGGTGAGTGTCTTCTTGATATAGAGGACACTGGTAAATTAATATTAGGGGAAAACATTTACAAGGAGACATTTTTGGAGAACATATGTTGACAGTCCATCATGGGTTTTCCTATAGATTTTGTATCCTAACTCTTAACACTGGTAAATCAACTACATATATACTGTAAAGTTGGGGGTCATAGAACACTTTGAGGAATCTGAAAGGATGTGAGTATTATTGTAAACGACTTACACTTAGGATATGCTAAACATAAGGTCAAAATGTCTGAGGTTTATCAAATTAAATGAGTTAGATATAATTATAGGTCAAGACTGTCCACAGATTTCTCCCATGTGCCAGAATGGGTTAAATGAGAAGGTTAGACCACAAGAGCAAGCAGAAGACAGAAGTAAAGATAAGCCAGTGCAAAAAGAAGGCACTCAAGGGAGGGAGACATCAGAAATAAGGATATAAAAAAAAAACCTTTGGTACAAGGAGAACTGTTTTTAAGAGATGGCTGGACTTGACTTAGAGAACTGTCAATTATAAATGAGCAGAAATAAACAATCAGCCATTTGCTGGAAATGATGGGTCTTTAATAATACATGAGCTAAGAGGGCATTGGAAGGAAACCCCTGGGTGCAATTTGTTTCTTTTGCTGACTCACCTTGGTGCATTTCCTTGCTATGACTACACTATCTTAAGTCTAGTAATAAGTATATTGCATCACAACCCATTTCTAATATCATTTTGTAAACTGGATCATGGAGAACGGCAGCACCATAAAAGCAATCATGTCGCCATATCAACGTAAATGGTGATATATTCATTCCGTTAATGACTACAAGTGTTTGTTTTTTGTTTTTTTGTAAGCACTGCCCCATTTAGCTCCTAGACTAATTTAAACAATTTCAGTCATAAATAATCAGTTTTCATTTAAGCATATGTGCTGATATTGCAAGTTGGTAATGATACACCAGGGTACCTATCTTTGGTTTTGCTTCATATTTGTCATCATTTTGTTTTTTGGGGCAACTATGAACGGATGACACACAAATCTATCTGTCCTCTCCTGATCTCTCCCCATCCCTCTTGACTTGTCTCTGACTACCTCTCTCCTATTTCTAACGGGATGGCTGCCCATTTGCTTAAACTCAACTCAACTTGACCAAAACTGAAATTCTGGTCTTTCCTCCCTCAAGTGTTGCTACTCCTGTGTTTCTCTCCCTCCAAGTCAATGGTGCTAACATCAGCTCCACCACGCAGGCTCGCTGCCTAGGTGTTCTCTTTGACTTTGACCTCTCTTTCACGCCTCATGTTCAGTCTATCGCCAAATCCTGCCGCTTCCATCTCAAAAACATTGCGTGCATCCAACCCTACTTAATGCCAGATGCGACTAAGCTGCTGGTCCATTCCACTGTCCTTTCTCGACTTGACTACTATAATCCTCTTCTCAGTGGTCTTACATGCTCCCAACTTGCGCTGTTACAGTCCATAATGAATGCGGCAGCGAGGCTCCTCTTCCTGTCCGCCCGCACTGCCCACCCCTCACCGTTCTGTTAGTCCCTACATTCGCTTCCTGTAAGATATAGGGCTCAATTTAAAATTCTGTTTCTTGCTTTCAAATCTCTATATAATGCTGATCCCACCCATCTATCTGCCCTAATACACAAGTATGTCCCATCTAGGCCCTTACGCTCTGCTGAAGACTATTTTCTGTCCATATTCCCACCTCTGATGCTCGCCTTCTCAGGGGCTGCGCCGTTCCTGTGGAACTCACTTCCCTGCTACGTTAGATGCTCACCCAGTCTCCACTCCAAGCGTATCAATTACAATTTATTTTAGAGACACCAGGGAACTGCCCCAGAAAGAGTAGTGTGAGTGAAGCTTTAGACGTGCTTGTGCAATGACAAAGGTACTAGTAACATAGTACTCTACATGGTCCACACTTAATAGGGCCAGCCAACATGATTGGCAGTCAGCCTGATGTTCCACTTTGGGCGATGCCAGTGATGCGGTTCACATTAACGTTCTGCCCCTTTTGGCTCAACCATTGGCATATCACTTTACTGGATGCCAATGTTGGGGGTTATCACAGTGTAATACATTACTACAATACTACATTGGGGACTCACTTGCTATACTTTTATCTCCACCTTATAGTGGATTATATGCTGTTTTTTACCTGGACCTTTGTAATAAATTCTTTGTAGTTTTAATTCCATCTGTACTATTTCTTGGTTTCTTTATTTTACAAGTGCTAAAGAAGATTTTCTCCATTTAACTTTGAAGACCATTTTTGATTAAGGATGATGGGCCTGATATTCACTTATATTTTGTGAGTTCAATATATACATCCTGCGTGTCTAGACATTTATACTTTTATCACTCTATGTGCGATTTATATATCTTTTTGTAGATATTGTCCATCACGCTGTTATATTATAAGGTTGTATATTTCCATTTACACCTTAGAAGTGATTACTTCACTCTTTTTGCATTCCTACTTTTCTGTTTTGTTTTACAGTGTAATACATTGACTGATTTATACATATCTCCTGCCTTTTTAATCACATATTGCCATCACATTGCATTTGTTCACAAACTATTTAAAAGAGTCATTCTAGTAAGTAGCATTTTTTTATTATTATTTGCAGGTAGGTACAAGAAAGAGGGCCCCCTCCGCAGTTCAGGGACATCACTCAAGCACCAACCTAATGAACCTCTCTGGCTAACCAATATCCTTTACTCAGAGCAGCTACTCTGGCAGTTACCTAGGTTTAAGTTTATAGCGATGATAGCAGTGGCGGATCCAGAGCCTGATCTCGGGAGGGGCACTTGTAGATTATTTAAAGAAATAATCCAGACACAATAACCACTACAGCTCAGTGTAGTGGTTATGGTGTCAATAGTCCCGGGACCCCCTCCCAGAGTAAGTAGTCAAACCGTTTAAGAACAGTTTGACAATTTACCTGAGGTCGGCTGGGAAATGGGGCTGTAGTAGGGCATAGGAGCAGTGGTGTGTGTGAGTGGTGCAATGTGTAAGGGGTGCAATGTGTGTGTGTGTGTGTGAGGGGGACAGTGTGTGAGCAGTGTGTGTGTGTGTGTGAAGGTTGTAGTGTGTGAGTGAGGGCGGCAGTGTATGTCAGGGATGCATTGTATGTGTGGGACAGTATGTGTGTGTAACAGTTGCAGTGTGTGTGTGTGTGAGTATTGCAGTGTATGTGTGAGTGTGGCAATGTGTGTGTATGGGGCGGCAGTGTATGGGGGCAGTGTGTGTGTATGGGGGTAGTGTATCTGTGTAGAGTGTGTGTGTATTGGGGGCAGTATGTGTGTATTGGGGCAGTGTGTGTGTATGGGGGGCGGTGTGTGTGTGTGTATGGGGCAGTATGTGTGTATGGGGGCGGTGTGTGTGTATATGGGCAGTGCGTGTGTGCATGGGGGCAGTATGTGTGTATGGGGGCAGTATGTGTGTATGGGGGGATGTGTGTATGGGCAGTATGTGTGTATAGGGGGCAGGATGTGTTTATGGGCAGGATGTGTGTATGGGGCAGTATGTGTCTATGGGGGCAGGATGTGTGCATGGGTATGTGTGTATAGGGGCAGTATGTGTATGGGGGGGGCAGTATGTGTGTATGGGGGCAGTATGTGTGTATGGGGGGCAGTATGTGTGTGTGTATGGGGGCAGTATGTGTGTATGGGGGCATATGGGGGCAATGTGTGTGTATGGGGGGTATGTTTGTATGGGCGGGTATGTGTGTATGGGGGCAGGGGGCAATGTGTGTGTATGTATGTGTGTATGGGGCAGTATGTGTGTGGGGGTATGTGTGTATGGGGCAATATGTGTGTATGGGGCAATGTGTGTGTATGGGGGCAATGTGTGTGTATAGGGGCAGTATGTGTGTATGGGGGGCAGTATGTGTGCATGGGGGAAATATGTGTGTATTGGGGGCAGTATGGGGGCAATGTGTGTGTATGGGGGGCAGTATGGGGGCAGTGTATATGTGTGTGTGATAAGGGTAGGAGGGCTTTTTTTAAAATAATATATATTTTTATTTATTTAATTAAAATAAATAAATATTCTATGTCCCCCCTCCCTTCTTACCTTTATTGAGGAGGAGGGGGGACATTTCTTAGTCCCTGGTGGTCCCAGTGGGGATTCCCTGGTGGTCCCAGTGGTTGGAGTGAACTCTAGCCCGCGCTCCAGGGCTAGAGTTCACTCTCGCGAGATTTGGAGCGTTGCCGTGGTAACCACAGCAACGCTCCAAATCTCGCGAGAGGAGCACCTGGAGGAGCTGCAGGCAGAGCTCCCGGATCCTCTCTCTCCCTCCCTCCCCTGCCGGCTCTCAGCACAGTGCTTGCGGACCGGGGAGGGAGATCTCCCCTCCGGTCCACAGGCACATTGCAGGTCTGGCGCCTGCATGTGCTGGCAGAGGAGATGGAGGCCGTCGGATTTCTCGGGGGGTGCAATTGCCCCCCCTCCCCCCCGGATCCGCCACTGGATGATAGGCTACCTGTGAAGTTATAGGATGCATGATTTAATATAACCGAGTTTTGTTACTGGACTTCCCTATGCGTTACTCTGCAGACCGATGGTCCACTGGACTAGACACACCCCACCCGCCATAAACGAGAATATCACAATACCCTTCTCCCTTTCACCTCAACCTTTTATTTATATTATTTATATTTTATTGATTCTCTCTTGTCTTTTAAGGTTTCAATTTTTTACTTTAAATAGTCACACTATTGATAGCTGCCCCCCCCCAAATGAATGCCACGATTAGGGCAGGTTACTAAACCAATGGCACAGCCTGGCACATCTGCATTTATCAGCCACTGAAGCAGTACCACTTTAACTCACAGATGACTCACATCCAGTGGGCAAATGCCAGCACTTACGATACAAGCAGGGGAAACGTTTGAGTCTTGCATATGTGCCTCTCACTTGCATAAGGGGCAGACCCTCTCAAAACACCCACCTTTAGATAACAATTCTGCGGCACACACCGCAAGCACTGCTTCAGGTACCCAGGACACCATCCCATGGGCCATAGGGCGCATCACTACTTATATTTGTCATTCAAATCTTTGTGCAGCCATACAGACAGTTTCACCGGTTGCTCCTTTATATCGGCACCATCCAGGGCTGGCCCCTCACCCTGCCAAAGAGGCCCCCTGTTATACGGAGGTTACAGTAAATAAGGTAGAGCACTCTAAATACAACTCTCCCAAAATAGTAATACAAATGTTTATGCCTCCCTCAGTTTTCCTGACTCCCACTATGCGAAGCTCAGCCAAATCGCTTGTCACGACAGGGGGACATAAACACCTTCGCTAGTTGAGCTGGAACCCCTTACAGCTAACCATCCCAACCATTGATACAAGTGACTAAGAAAGGCAAGGGGGAAATTGGCAGGTGCGATGGGTGCAATACCTGCTCACCATATCCCAGCACCAACCATATTACACCCATAGACCCCTATATGATATATCCCCCCTGGGAATGCTATTTCCACTGCCACTAAGGTCTCAACGGTCTGGGAAGCCACAGCAACTGTCACAATATGTGTAAACCACAAAGAGCGGGCATTCAAGACACTAATGTGGTGGTACCTTACTCCTCTAAAATAAAACAGGTGGGGATGTCCACCTCCGACTTCTGCAGGAAGGGCTGTGGACGCAAGGGACGTACTATCACCTTTGGTATGAATGCCACCAAATTGCCTAACGATGGACGAAAGTAAAAACCCTAGTCTCTAAAATCTTACACACGACCATCCCCAGGGACCCCTGGCTGTGGCTGCTCTCCAAACCCTTAAAAGACATACCCCAGGCACAAAATAAATTACTTGCACTAGCGACCAGGAGAACTCTTGCGACACACTGGGGCGCAGCCACAGTCCCGACCATGGGTGAAGTAAAAAAAAAGACAGACGAGGCCAGAAAAATGGACGGTCTTTTAATCCCCTAATCCATGACACAACCAAACACTGTGAAAACATATGGGACCCCTGGCTCTTTGAGTTTCCCATTCACACCTAATGCCCATGCCCTGGTGTGGGCCTCGGGGGCACAGCCATATACCCCACTAATTCTGACCCTTCCTCTCCTCTGTTAGAGACATTAATCTCCACCAGTTACCACTCCACACAACTAAACTACACTGCACATTCAGATCTTCCTTACCAAGACGGTACCAAATGAATAGAGCCTCTCAAGGTCACCCAAGTCATCACCTACTACATATCATTGCCCACATATCAAAAAGCCCACTCAGCCACCAACTCCAGCCCTCAACCATAGCTGCAATGGGCACATACCCTAATATAGGAAACATTAACCCACCCGCACACCAAATCTGGACCCAAGAGTGGATAGTACAACTATCAGGTGAACGGAAGAATGCATACTACTGTTAAAAAGTAAAAAAGTAAAAAACATGGATAATGACAGTATAAAAAAAGCTAATAAGCCTTGACGCATCATATCCTATTATATTCTACATTTATGTTAAACTGTATTCAATATTTACTTTAACCATTTACATAAACTAGAAACAGCTTAACTTTGTAAACTGTTTATTGTATAATGAACAATTACTGCTAGAACCATACTTTGCTGTATTACAAATCACATCTTTGTTATGTTTTTTTCTCTTTCTGTAACAAACTATTTAATACATGCAATACATCCAAAAATCAAAAATAAAGATTGTTTAAATTTTTTAAAAAAAAAAAAGTAATATTACTATGATACCACCTGTTTGTAATAGCTTCACTTGACTATGTCTACAGATGTGCCTCTAGTGGCTGTCAATATGACAGTCACTAGAGGCATTTAAAACTTGCAATGTAAATATTTTGTTTCCTGCAGAATGGCAATGTTTTACACTGCAGGGTTAAAATGAGAGGAAGATGGGACCCAGACCACCTAGAACAGTGATGGCGAACCTTTTTGAGCCCGAGTGCCCAAACCGCAATACATGCCAACATTTTTTCTCCTTAAAGTGCCAACACGGCAATTAAACCCAAATACTGAGGTTTAAGTTTAGAAAAAAACAACTCGTACTGTTGTCCGAACTAATAACTTTTGTTTTAAAAGAACACAGAGAGTTCAATGATACAAATTTTAAATAATGATATAAATAGATAAAATTAAGCTTATATTTATTAGTATCTCCAACAAATGCAATACATACACACACAGACTGCTGAATACATACACACAGTCTGCTGAATACACACACACAAGACTGCTGAATACACACAAGACTGCTGAATACAGAGACTGATGAATACACATACACAGACTGCTGAGTACACACACAGACTGCTGAGTACACACACACAGACTGCTGAGTACACACACAGACTGCTGGTACACACACACAGACTGCTGAGTACACACACACGCACACACAGACTGCTGAGTACACACACACACAGACAGCTGAATACACGCAAACACAGACAGCTGAATACACGCAAACACAGACAGCTGAATACACGCAAACCAGACAGACACTGAGATACTGCATACACACACACACAGACTGCTGAATACACGCACACACACACAGACTGCTGAATACACACATACTGCATTGAGGTGGGGGGTGCGTGTGTGTGTGAGTGTTGTATGTGAGGGGTGCTGTGTGTGTGTGTGTGTGTGTGGGGTGCTGTGTGTGTGTGGGGGGGGGTGCTGTGTGTGTGTGTGTGTGTGTGCTATATGTGTAGGGGTTACTGCTGGGGGGTAGGGGTACTGCTGTGGAGGGTAGGGGTACTGCTGTGGAGGGTAGGGGTTACTGCTGTGGAGGGTACGGGTTACTGCTGAGGGGTAGGGGTACTGCTGGGGAGGGTAGGGGTTACTGCTGGGGGGGTTAGGGGTTCTGCTGGGGGAGTAGGGGTTACTGCTGGGGGGGTAAGGGTGCTGTGTCAGTATACCCCCCCCTCCTTCCTACCTTTAATGAAGTAGGGGGGGTGGGGGGGGGGACAGCGATCCCTGGTGGTCCGGTGGTGGTAAGCACAGCAGGGGGAGGGCTCCAGGAAGCAGCTCCCCTGTCCTTCCGCGCAATGCTGTGTGGAGCGTTGCCATGGTAACGCGCGGCAACGCTCCACACAGCATCGCGCGGGAGGACAGGGGAGCTTCTTCCTGGAGCCCTCCCCCTGCCTCCCGACCCGGAAGCAGAGTAGGCGCCTGCCGTTTCGGGCAGGCGCCTACTCTGCATTGATGGCGGACCTGTGGCCGCGTGCCCACAGAAAGGGCCCAGCGTGCCACAGGTTCGCCATCACTGACCTAGAACATTGAGATGATGTGGTCCGGGTGCCTATAGTGTCCATTTAAATTATTTGTTTATATTAAATATATAGAGAAACTATTAAATTGTGATTTAGGCAAACTAAAGTTTTTTTTTTACTATTTTTCTTAAATTGTAAAACCAGTTTTATTTTTTTAATTTGCATTGTATGCCTGGCTGTCCTGGTGTATGCGTGGGTGCATGTGCTTATAAGTCACTGCGGATGGTAATTGGAAGATGTGTGAGCATGCATATGTAGATAGTCCGTGCACTAATCAGCTCACTAAATTCTTTAATATAATTCACTAGAGTGAAGGAATGAAGAAATGTCACTTCCAGAAAATATGAGGGGGTTTTTACAGTAAGTTTTGAATAAAATGTTTAACTTCACTATTAACACTCTATATATACAGGATGCTTTACACAATATTTATGCAAAAGGAATAAAATAAAACTGTGTACAATTTTACACTTTTCAGCTATTCCTGAAGACCATTCCTTATGCAAATTTCCTAATTATTTGTCCTTATTTAATGTGCTAGCTAGGCATCTCAAGTTTCCTAATAAATGTTAACACATACTTTAATTAAAATAATAACTCAGTGGGTTAATTCCTTATCTTTTTGTTCTCATTCTCTGTCTTTTGCTTGGTATGTTTTATGTTAGATTTACTTTATTCAATCAACTGTACTCCTGACTTAACAGGAGGACATAGGGGGTTAAAACAGATCTTCATTCTAATAATTAGGAGACTATCTACATATGTGACCTTTAACCTTTTCCACTGCATACACTGCAATGCGGAAAGGTTAATTTGCCAAATGGGAATGTTCATCTGCAGACTACAGAAATATAAGGGTAAATAAAATGGTGGGCTGTAAGCTGCTGTAGGATGCAAAAATGTAAACTGCAAGTTGTTGGGTTTTTTTGTTCCCGAAAGGCAACATATGAACTGCTAGGTAAAAAAAACACTTTAAGAAAAAATAATTTACAATTAAAATCTAAAATAAGACAGAATGAATATATAACAGAATAATTGTGTAGATCATTTACTACTAAACAATCCTTGGAATCTGCATTGACATTGATGTTATCTGGTTTTTAAAATATTCCATATTTAAGAAACCAGAAATGGTAGGCTAGAAAACATCCCTTACTTCCTGAAACATGTTAGCAGTGAACACGTTACTGACATCATTATTAAGATAAGAGAAATGTCTTCTCCCTAATCCGACAATGGGAATTTACCAAAGGTTACCCAATCGTATTAAAGGAGGCTCCTATTATACTTATTTATTTCTTTATTCCTCAGCAGCAAAAGAAAGGATATTAAAGATATTGTAGATATTCAATAAAAAAAAAAATATCCATTAATAACATAATTTAACCCAAAGGATTAACCACATATAACATATTAACCAATGAGAGTGTTCCTAGTACAATAATGTCCCATGTGACCCTAAGCCACTCCTCTTTCTTTTGCTGCTGCCTCCTCATTAATCTCCACCAGTTACCACTCCACACAACTAAACTACACTGCACATTCCTAAGTACAATTTTTTATCTCTCTCTCATATTTGGGAATATTCCATTTATGTATATATATTTTGGGTTCATCTGCCCTTTTCTGTGGTAAATTATTTGTTGTTATTACTGTTTTCCTCATCCATCCCTCCCTCCCTCCCCCATCCCTGTTTTTCTTCCCTCAATCACCTGGTCAGTTTGATAATTTTCTGACCAGGTTTACCTCCTGCCTAGGGGGGAATCTCATCCTGAGGCTCCCTCCTCGCACCGGGTACCGTTTTCAACGGTCACGGCGGTTCACGGCTTCGGCCGCAACTACCGCCGCTCGCGCGCACACATCACGCGTGCGCATCGCGGCGGACATTAAGGTTGGCAGTTTTGCCACGCTTTTTCTAGCGCGGCCAATACTGCTCGTTCGGGGGCGGGATTTTCACAGCTCAGTTGCTGGGCAAGTTACCGGTGCTCCCCAGGAATTTATTCGGTAAGCTTGCTTTACTTTTACTATTGTGCTGATTAGCAGTTTTTTCTGTGCCTACTAGCCTTCAAATTCCCATTGTAGCCCTGTTAATAGGAATAAATCATCCTTGCCCTTCAGTTCCTTGGCCCTCCTTTTTGCGCCTGTCACTGTTATACAGTTAAATTGTAACATGCAATCTGGCAAAGAGTTTGACATTTGCAGCCCTGCCACTAGTGCCACCATAACCCCCGACACCTCCAGCAGGGTCAAAATTACCCAAATTAGCTGAATCATCATTAGAGCAAATGGACTCTGAAGAGTTGCATTCCCTCCTAGACGCTGCTATGGCAAAGTCTGTACCTTAAGACATTTATACTGCTATGGGTGCCATGTCAGATAATATCACCCAATCAATTACCAATGCACTAAGGCCCACTCAATTACCTCCTACTCTCACTACTACCCCCGGAGAGTACACCGGTGGCCCCTAGTGGGCATAAAGCCGCAAAAAAGGCTCACCACCTGGACGAGGATGCCTCCAAAATTATACAGACGGACAGGGTACGTCCTGTCACAGAACCTGTGGTTGCACCACAACTAAGAGCCCCCCCACTGGGCAGAATCGGTGAGGAACTGGAAGAGGGCAAAAGCACAGATTGAATCCTCCGAATCTGAATCGGAGCAAGAGGAGGCACAGGGCGAGTCTGATGAGGAGGACTCTTATGATTCCACCAGTTATTTTCCAGGGCACGGCTCATTGTCAGTAGCGGGAACAAACTCCAAAGATGGAGTTGATGCCGCTGCCCTAGTAGACCCTCAGGGCGAGCCACTGTTTGATCCCGACACTTTACAACTCCTGAGATCCTCGGAGTAATATCCCCTAGAACACTGCATGCATTATTAAGCCACTTGACAAGGTGGCACAAAACAAACTCCGGGCAGAATGCCCATTCCCCACTCTTCCTGATATGGCATGCGCCACCCCTGACATAGACCCCAAAATCGCCCAATTCTTGGGGAAATCAGGTTGGAAGGCCAAGAAGGGCCTTGATTTTGACTGGCGGAATTGCCAGGATAAGGTCCTGGATGTCCTGGGGCTAATTGCAAAAGTGTTCGACATGGTTGAAATCTCACTATTGTGGCTCCGGTGGATTTAGAAGCCATCAGGGGCTGGATCCAGCGATCCATATGTTTGCTGG